TGGTATGGGAGGGAAGGAGAGGTGGGTGGAGGGAAGGGAGAGGGGAGGTGGAGGGAAGGGAGAGATGGTATGGAGGGGAGGAGGGAGGGAGAGGGAAGGGAGGGAGAGGTGGTATGGAGGGAGGAAGGGTATGGAGGGAGGGAGGATGGCAGGGAGGGAGATGTGGTATGTGGGGAGGGGAGGAGGTATATGTGCAGGGGAGGGATGGTATGTGGAGGGAAGGAGATGTGGTATGTAGGGGAGGGGATGTGGGTATGGGAGGGGAGGAGAGGTGGATAGTGTAGAGGGAGATGTATGGGAGGGGAGAGGAGAGGAGATGTGCAGGGGAGGAGACGTGGTATGTGGGGAGGGAAGGGAGATGTGGTATGTGCAGGAGGGAGATGGTATGGAGGTGAGAGGAGATGTGCAGGAGGGAGATGGGTATGTGGAGGGAGGGAGAGGTGGTGTGGAGGAAGGAGAGGTGGTATGTGCAGGGAGGGAGATGGTATGTGGAGGGAGGAGATGTATGTGGAGGGGAGGGAGATGGTAGTGTGCAGGGAGAGGTGGTATGGAGGGAGGGAGAGGGTATGGAGGGAGGGAGAGGTGGTATGTGGAGGAAGACGGGGAGGGGTGGTATCAGGGCCGGATTCAGGAGCAGGCAAAGTGGGCAGCTGCCCAGGGGCCTCCACAATCTGGGGGCCTCCACATGTGCGGTAGTAGCTATATCAGGGCTGGTCGACTTGAAACCACATGAATGACTCCAGTCATGTCTCACTTTTGTGTGTGTGTTGGGAATTTGTACACTATCAATAAATATACAGTTAATTAAAAATTTCTCAATGTTCTAATTTCCTCAATATAACTGCATATGGCTTCAAAATTCTCCAAAGAAGTGTTCAAATTTCAAAATTTTCCCGGGGGGCTTACAGCGTCCTCCGGAACTCCCGGATGTTTAGGCTCGCTTCACTCGCCACCCCACCCTCTTGGGTAGTTATAATGAGGGGGGCCTCCACAAAGAGGCTGCCCATGGGCCTCCACAGATCTAAATCTGGCACTGGTAGTGATGTCTGTTGTCTGTAGTGATGTCTGTTGTTGTCTGTTGTCTGTAGTGATGTCTGTTGTTGTCTGTAGTGATGTATGTTATTGCCTGTAGTGATGTCTGTTGTCTGTATAGTGTTTTTGTAACGCTTTTCCTGTATAATTGTCTGTTGTCTGTAGTGATGCCTGTTGTATAAGTTAATAAAGTCAACTCGACAACCAGGTTGAAAATTATCCCATAAAATATAACCATTAGTAACTCAACTGGATAATTTGCATTTACCATTTGGTTAAGCCAAGTAGCGTTTACTCTCCCGGTATATGTATCAACGCCTCATTATAGTAAGCATTTAAATACATTTTATATAGAGGTCATATTAAGCAAATTTACAGCCAAAATGGAAAGTAAAAATAAATAAAATGTTTACATATTTCTGGGTCATTATCTATCACTACTGCCTGTTGTTTACCGAAATAAACATACAGAAAATAAGTAAACTATATTGATTGAAGGTTCATGGCAGGAAAAGGGGGGGGGGGTGGGGGTGTACAGTTACTTATGAAGTTTATTGGTCAAGTCTAGAGAGTTTGGTTTACGTAAAGCCAAGTGAACAGATACCTGGAGGAAAGGACTATACAGTACATGAATACGGTGATACTGTACTGTACTTCCCCGAGCATCTGAGACTTACACACGAGTATCTGAGTCAACAAAAACAGGTATTTGACCATCTGAATGATTTGGATTAGCTTTGAAGGTATATATCGAAGTGTTTCATTATATATCGAATCTCTCCATTACTCCCACAGTGACAGTATCATAATTAACAATGGTATTTTATTGGTAAGACGTGGCCATAAATAAAATAGGTATGAAAAAGAGGATATAGGGGTGGTAACATTCCTCTCGGTGGGTTGGGGCTGAAAGGGGCCACCAGTCTCTTCCTACCTGGCCTCATTAGCTCGCCCCTGCTGTAGTAAGTGGGTGGCACTGACACATGGGCGGGGGCCGGTGGGGGTCCCTATAGAAAACAGGAATAGTTTGGCTTTTAAATTAGGTTCGCTTCTTTTATACCTGGTCACGCTGTTTGTGGGTCTTCTTTTTTTTTTTTAGAAGAGTGTATTTTTATTTTTTAATTTGGGTAAGAATTTTTTTAGAGTGTTTTTGTAACGCTTTTCCTGTATAATTTCTCTTAAAGGTTTCAAGCTTTTTTTCTAAGATATAATATTGGAACTTAGTTGGATCAGTTTCGTTTCTTGTGAAATTATTCCTTAGAAATGTAAAAACTAAGAAAGACATTTTATAAAGAAAAAAAATCATACAAACATCTAACCTTTTTAAGAAATACAGTATCGTAACATAAAATAAATCCTAATATTAAAAGTGTAACACTAAACACGTGGAGAGGGAGGGACACAACGCTCACTTCAACAGAGGATCAATGAACATTTGAGAATATCGCTCCATCTACGAACACGGAGAGTGCAAACCGCCCTTTGACTGAACCTCGATATCACCTCCTCCATCTACCTCTTAACAAGTGGCTGCAAGGGATAGTCTCTCTAAAAAGAATAGTGGCTCAGGTTGTCCCAGTTTAATGAGGCTAAAACATGAGAAATTTGAAAGAAAACAGTATGTTAATACATTTAATATAGGAAGTAAGCAATAAATTATAAAAAAAAAATTTAATAATAGAGGGGGGTTAAAGAATCTGTACCCCAAAAAGAATATCTGAGGTATTGTTGAAGAAAGGACATGAAAAGCAAGAAAAAGAACAGCAGTAGAATAAAACCCAATAAATAGCTTAATAAAAGGGATAACGAAAGTGACAGTAAGAAAGACAAAGCTAAGGTGGACTCCGGTGAAGGGAGAAAAATCTCAAGTGTTTCTCGGGCAAGATCGTGTATTTTTGTAATAAGGGGAGACGATACGGGACGGGGCTGTGTTTACCATAGGAGACTTGCTGGAGAGGATGGACAATATCGTGTCTGGTAATGGGATCAAACCCCATTTCTGCCTCAGTGTAGGAGGTAATGATATTGGTCGGCGTAGTAGTGAAGAGCTTCGAGGTAGGTACAAGGATGCTATTGAAGTTTAAAGAGGAAGAGAAGTATCCTTGTCTTATGTAGTGTCCTATCGAGAAGGGGAGTTTGCGCTAATTCGTTGTGTGGGTCCATTTATAACTGCTACTGGGAAAATAATGTAAGTTAAATGTAATTCTCGCCGTAGAAAGCTGGATATTTTTTATGGCTGAAGCGACATGTTTACAAGGGACGGGGAGCATCTGTCTTGGGCCGGGGGGAGAGGTGGCGGTGATGGCCAGCTCACTAGAGAAAGTAGTTGTTTGGATATCACGAACCATAAACAGGTATAAGAGAAAGAGGTATGGAAATGTATAACAAAAATAGTCGATGGAAGTAACAGAATAACAGTAGCTTAAATTTTTACTAAGCGGACAGTAGAAGCATTAGGCATGAAATGAAATAAATTTAAATAAATTAGTGTATAAAAGGAATAGATATAATAATGAATAATTTGACAGAAAAAGTGACAAGTGGATCAATTGACGAGATATCAGACGCTTTAAGACAAGTTCCACTGTTACATTTCCTCCTCCACACCGGATTCGTTATTCGTTCAGTTCACTTTATGTTGAATCATCAAAGAAGTTGTTATTAAAAGATGAAGAGAAGTTTGTGAAGCTTAGAATGATAGCAAACGAAATCTGAGCTACGCAGCACATTTCAGTTAACAGTGACACAAAAATATCCATCTATTTCAGACTGTTATCTCAATAATCGTACCCTTTTCCAAAACCTACCTGTGCGAGCTGGCCTTCCCAACTCTGATTTACGTGAATAACAACAGGAGGGAGAGCCTGTCAGTGCAGCGAGACCTGTGAGTTGTTCTGCCATCAGTTTTCCCCCTGGTCAAAAGGCTCCACTCACAGGTAGACCCGTGTGTGTCATTACCTTTGCCAGTAAATAGATTATACTGTACCTTTTCCTTTCACAAAAGAAACTTAATCTTTTTTTTTATTAATACACACTTTCATGTTGAGAAATTTATACATTTTGTTGGCTAGGGACGTCACCATAAATAGAACATTATTCAGGAAAAATGGTGTATTTCGGTGACATATCTGCGGTGATAATATTTCTTTATAAACTGTTCATTATAAATATCGTTTGTTTGTTTGACTACATCATGGCGTCCACTACAGGCAGTAGCTCCTCTTGTTATGACCAATGTGGAAGGTGAAGGTAGAGAGGAGTGTCGGGTGCAGGACGAGGGAAAATATACAAATAGATTATGGCAACATCACCATTAAAGACGCTGCATTTAACACAGATCACTTCTAGTATTGATGTGGGGAGGATATGGTAGAGGAAGAGTGCAATGGCTGATGAATAAAATAGATGACAAATTTGAGGTGATTGCAAAAGAAATGCAGAAAATGGTAATTGTATGTATCACTAATTAGAAGGTAACTTTAATTGTCAGGTGTGTCTCAAAAAATCATCATTATTGTATGTTTATCGTTGCATGTAAACGGTTGGGAACTACTGGTCTGGTATCTGAGGCCCTGGAAGTGTAGAAACAAGACGAAAGAGAAACAAGAAAAGAAAGAGAGAAGTTCTGCCAAGCGTGAGAATGGCTTGACAACCTAATCAAGTTTACATGCACCAACTCTTACCAAAGGCTTCACCCTAACTGTAAATATTTAAGATTTATAAAGTGATTTTTTACCTAAGACCAGCGGGAGGGAAACGTGCAGCTCATCAATGACTTGTTAAAAAATACAACACCACGTTTCGTATCATCATCATCAAGAAAAAGATGAATATAACGGTACAGAAAGGTCTCCTCCCTGCATTTCCGATTCAGACAGTTTGTGTAGCGGCGACACCTGAAGTACCTGAGGTCGATGATAAGAGTATATGGTCCACAGACTTAATATAGTAACTGAAGGGTGACTTACTTTACAGCCTTGATGTGAGGCCACGAAGCGAGGCCGGTGAGAGGGCCCTTCTGGTCCCTAGTGCGGCCGTGTACAGTGAGGAGGGAGGCGCCAGCATGCTCCAGCATCTTGGCATACTCCACCGTCTTCTTCTCGTCCTCGAACACCCGAATCTTCGCTGTTATGGCCACGTCCACCTCCTTTGACGCCCGCTCGACTATGTCATGGAGAGAAGTCGTTTCCACAGATGAGTTTTACAGAAAAGTACATGTCGGTGTCAGGTTTATTCATCAGCTTGAGCAAATACTGTTTCTCACCAGGTTACACTGGTAACATACATTAGATAATTCATGTCAACGACACAATAATTCAATTTTAACACTGGAAATATTTCAGTGCGACATTTAATTCCTCCAACAACTGGAAACTTTCGGAAAGTATCTTCACTGGAAGTTTGTATCTATATTGTAACAGTTACTGTACATAAAACATCCACTCGCCCACTTTATGACCAATAATGTATTATATACTAACAGTAAGTCTTGGCCACTTGTTTAGCTTTAAATCGTTCAACATCAACAAAATAGTACAAATATTGTATATGTTTGCAACTGTTAGTGAGGGTTGCATACAAGGTGACTTACGCATTGTGTGCACGAAATACAATACCTCATTGATTGTGCACAAGAGGTGATGCACCCAATGTGCACACATGGTGACTTCTCGTCTTGTATACTCACTGCACACAGACAATGTGTAGACAAGGTAAATTCTTTATTATACGTATAAGGAGAAATACTCATTGTACAGCACATACAAGGTGACTCACTGTGCCGACAAAAAAGACTTGATCAATATGCACCACATTGTCTCACTCCTTATGTGGACGAGTTAATTATTCATTGTGTGGATGATAGGACTTACTCATTGTACGGACAAGCTCCCATTCGTCCTGGAGAAAGGCGCCATAGTGCCCCCGACGAGCGATGGCCTGCGGGCAGCCCAGGTTGAGGTCTACGGCATCGCAATGGGGAGCCGCCAGCCTACACGCCTCCACAAACGTGTCTGGATCGTTCGAGCAGAACTGTGGATCACACCAACACCTCTCTTCAATCTTAGTACAATACTCTTGTACCTAAAGCTCACCTATACCAACTACTTCAATATTTCAATCAATTACAAAATGTAAATGAAGGTAGGCACAATATTCAACAACTAATCGGAAAGGTTGGTAATAATAACACGTGACGGCTCAGGGCAGTAATAATAACTAACATATGATGGGTGAGGACGGTAATAATATTTGACCTGTGGTGGTGAGTCGAAATATAAACGTTGAAGGTGTATTGATTGACAGTAGTGATTACCTCTAAGATGCACTGGATGATGGCAACATGTGATGGATGGTGTTAACTTTGAGGCAGATGAGTGTCCGTGTTTAATGTGAGGTTGGTAGGAACAGTTACTTGTACGACAGAAGGAAGGTCTTGGTGACTTACTTACCTGGACGATGAGCGGACGGTCCTCAGAGCAAGAGGCAAGGTTTTCCCTCCTATACCTGGCGTCCTTGACAAATACGTGGGCGTGTAGCATAGGTGTGTAGCACAGTTCCGCACCTGTAAAGACATAAATTAATATTCACTACAACTTTTCATCTACCGAAGGAACAGTGACCTTAGGAGATACTTATTAGATTTTACTTCATTGTGGGACCTGTATAAATACTTGCGCACTGATCACCATACTCAAGGGGTTAAAAGGTAACAGAGTCGCTCACTTAAGAAAGGTTTCCATCAGCTTGGGAAGAAGGAACAATAATGATAAACCTGTCAATTGGTGATATACACACCTTAACAAAACTTAGAAATGACACTCAGTTACTTGATCTAGTGCGTTAAGTTGTGAGTCATAAAAGATCTAGTGTTGGAGTATTTACAAGAGCATTTGGTATTGTTCGCTGGGCAGAGAAGTCACTTAAAGACGATCATCAACGAGTGGAAGATAAACTGTCAATGAGGTGACTACAACGGCTGGTCTACTAACATTCTGCTGATAAACTGTAATGTTGCTCAGTTATGGCAATTAATGTGCAGATAAAAGACAATTACGCCGTACAACATGGATCGTTAAATACGTAGTTTAGTGGTGCAAGTTTCTAGGAATTTAATCATTGGTGTAAGTGTCTTTAAGAACGTAGAATATTTATTTATAAGTGGTTAAGTGTCCTACAACGCTACGGTACGTAATGAAAGGAGGCAACACTAATGTTATACTCCTGCCCTCTATTGAGTTAATATATCTATCTTACTGAACAACCTCCTAATGGTTGTAATAATGTAATGTATTAATATTTTCCTTTCTATGTGATGGTTTGGTTTTATATGAATCACATAAACACGTCATCTTCTATAGTATGGTTTGTGTGTGAACTAAGGTCGTGTGTCTTTTGTTGTCTAGCTTGTGACGTGGAGGAGGGAGAAGTGAGCCGGGCATCCCCTTAAGCCCTCCTAAGTCATGACGGTGATAGTACTTCCCTGGGTGACTACTGTCTCTAAAGCTTACTACCTCAGACCAAGTTGATCCCCAGTCTACCCTGAGAGGCGCCGCCCGGGTGAACAAGTAGAGTCAGACACAAGTTCATCGATCTGGGAGCGAGAGTAAAAGGTCCTCTCATAAAAATGCCACCAATAGTAACAAAACCATCAAGTTAATTACCGAAACATGAATAAGATATTTGGTTCAATAAGAATCAAATAATGTTAAAGACAAATCCAAAAGTAAATATTCTTTCACAAGCAAATTCTCAGAGTGAGGGAGGGAGGAAAGGTGAGGGGGCTCGTGATCATATATTTCCATAGCTTCGTCATGAGTGGAGTGGAGTGTATTGATCAATATACAGGTATCATGGTGGACATTACACCCCACTCACGCAAACTACGGGTCCCACTTATCATATTTATCTACGTATGTGTGAAGGTCAAGTGGTGTGTTACAGTCAGTGACGAGAAGCCTTCCAAGATGGTGTGACAAGTTTAAACACAAGAACATAAAGTACGAGTTTCTTAAGAGGGATATAATAACCTGTCTCACGTCTTAGTTCAATATCTGTCTTTAGGATCTCCAATATTTCTCACTTAATCAAATAACATTAAGTCACTCTACTTGTAATTTTATACACTTTACCAAATGAAATGTTCCTCTTGAATGACTAAATGTGAAGCCAAATTATATATTATGAATTTCTCCGATACTTTAAAAACATAAAATCATTACCAAATAGATTTACTTTTAAATAATTTACATAAGCACCTACATAACAGCTGTGTAATGTTATATAAAAGACCAACCGTGTGTGTGTGTGTGTGTGTGTGTGTAACAGCCTCAAAAAACACGATCACTCAGAGCCAACACAACTAGTCATTCATTTTAAGTCCGTCAGCTGTACTCACGATCGATCTCAGCCACGTACAGTAGTCATGGGATATTTGGCGTGTGTGTTTTCTGAGTAGTATTTCCGTAGCCTCTATGGTATTGTCACATGTTACCTAAACATTTGTGTGTTACTGGTGTTATGTGTTATCTTGGTTTATCAGATGTTAAATACTGTTTTAGTGTTATGATTTACATGTTTTTCCTTATGTAATCTCTTATTTAGTGTTATGTAATCTGTACTGTAATTCTTTCTTGTTCTTTATGGTGTTTCTGTATTTCAATGTTTGCCTTTATAGTTACAGTAGTCTGGTGTGGCTATGTGTTATGTAATGGTGTCGTATGGAAGCCTGTTTTGGCACGGATGGTGTGTGCGGGGAGGAGAGGGCGAGGTTGGGGGAGGGAACGGAGAAGGGTGGGGAGGAATGGGCGGGGTGTGGTGAGGAATGGGAGGTGGGGTGTGGGTAGGCGCCGGTGGGATGTGGATAGTAGCTGGCAGGGCGTAGGTAGGAGCGGGCGGGGGTGTGGAGTGTACACAAGCTGTTTGATAATAATAAAGTTATGACAATATTTCTACTCTCTTTGTCCTCTGTTTACTGTTCATCACGGTGTATTAGCGAACAGGACCTAGGGAGGTGCGGCAGCCGGGTGGATGCTAAACTTGTCTGCATCACCATTCAACCCAACTGTGAATAGAAGCTTTATTTTGCTGTTGAGGAAGTGAAGGCGGTCGAGTGCAGTGTTGGTTATATTGTCTCCTTTACACCGTACGCTTAGACTATAATGTGTTGTGTTCATGCTGTGCCTCTAAAAGGGCCTTCAAGCTACAGGCAGAACTCGCTGTTAGTTTACAATATATAAAAAATATAGCGGTACTGACCTTGATAATTTGAAACACCAACAATTCCCATTCCAGTGAAACAATATTTTAATAATTAGAATACTAGTTTTTTATTGTAGATGATTTTTCTATATGCCTGAACAATGCTTATTAATATTATTATTTTTTTTTTTTACAATTTCTTTTAGTGTGATGCTTCCATTAGTTGAATGATATTGCTAACTGTTGCTGTCATCTGTCACCCGGTGTTGTCTGTTGGGTATAAACTGTCCGGAGTTGTGTTGAGTACCGAGTGTTGCGGTGTTATCAGTGTGTTATCTGGCATTTTTCTGTATGAGTTGTTATTTTTGTTTGTTATCTCTCATACTTATACTGTTCTTATGTTATCTGGTAATATGTTTATTCTTGTTTTATTTATTATTATGGTGTGTTATATGACTGTGTGTTACCTCATGTTTTTATGTAATGTCTTATTAAAATCCCGAAGCTTACTGTGTTTTAAATGTTAAGCATATTATTGTTACGTTTTCAGTGGTTATAAAAGTTGTCATGTATTACTGATGTTTTCATATAACCCACAGTACAGAAACAAAAGGTCGTCACTTTTTTTTTTTACGTCGGGTTCCAATACTTTGTGAGAACCATGAGAAAGAGATGTGTAAGATCTATATGGTATTAATATATACAATAATGCTTTTCGCCATGATAAATAACATACTCAAATTTATACACAGTCCATTGGGGACAGGAAGCGGTACAGTACCCAGCTAGAATGTTAGTGGCGGTTTGACTCCATATGTCTTCACTTACCGTAGCGCCGAGACAGAAGTCGCCAGGCCAGCTCGGAAGCATCTACCATGGGCGCCACAACCAGCCGCGCTCCTTTTAATGTCTCCCGCCAGAAGTCATACCCACGAGGACCCGGCATCACCTGATAAAAAGACAAGAATTATTTGGATATATGAACCCTTTACCTTTCATTACCGGAGGCACAGTTCGGGTCTGGCTCGTGTCTCCAGCCTGTACAGTACTTAACCATGGATCTTTACTGGGACTACCGTGAAAATGTCTCTTAAGGAATAATTGTGTATTGGTTTATGCGTATCATTCACGAGGGAAGAAGTTGTCAGTGTTATGGTTCATTCTACACTTCGCCTGCACCAACCTGTAACAGATCATACTTGTGTACAATATGCAATAGACTCTTACAAACATCATTTATCTCTTCACTGACTGTAAGAATCAATTTCACTTTGCCTCATAATTGTTACGTTTTAGTCATTAAGGTTGAGAAGAGACTAACTATTTAAGTTAATAATAAAGAGGAAAGTAGCCAATGAAAGTTATTGTTATGGAGACAGAAATTGTTATGTGGTCCACCTATGTTCTTGAGAGAGAGAGAGAGAGAGAAAAGGCAAGGGAGAGGGGGAGAAAAAAAAAGAAAGGGGGAGGGGAGAGAGAGAAAAGAAGAGGGGAGAGGGAGAAAAAAGAGAGGGAGGGGGAGAAGGGAGAGAGAGATTGGCTTGTGTGAGTAAATATCCCAGGGTAAACAAACGGAACTAACATCTTGGCTTATGTATGAAACGTATTAAGTTTACATATAAGAGAAAAAAGATCTCAAGTTTTATAACCGTTTCAATAATATTTCAAACTATAAAGTCGAGGTTTGGTTATCATGTTATCTTAGGATCATTTTCCTTTTCTCAAAGATACGTTTTTATAGTTCTTTAAATTATCATCCTCTTAAGTTTTACAAGTTTCCGGTACATTAATCGCTGTTTGTGTAAGTCAATGCAAAGGTTTTGTCCCATCTTCTGTTTCAAATGATTTAACTTCTGTCTCTATGATCTATTTCCACGTTATCAAGATATCTTTCACTGTGACGGGAGGTCTATGCTTCACTTTGTCTCTCTCGCTCTGTCTCTTGTACAGACGAAGGAAAAGGAATTTTTTATCCCAACAGAAATATTCATATCTCTGTGACAGGCTGATATGACCTGCCACTTCCACTTGACACCACTATTTGGGGGGAGGGGGGGGGGGGCTAAATAGAGTTAGATTCGCCCATTTATAAGTATAGTGAGCGGTGCCAGCAGTTGTTCTAAGTGGTTTTTGACACCAGCGCGACATATCCAACACCAAATGTAAACAACGTCGTTACTCATACTTCAGCCAAATATTTATCTAACTTGTGCCTTACACCTTCAAGTACACAAGACATTCATTCAATCTTCCCAGTTCATCTCTAAAGTTAATGCTCAGTGGATATAAAAAAAAATATGACTGACTGGCTGAAGTAAATCTCATGTATGGAAACAATTATTCTAACGCGGAATGGTTTAGTTACTAGATTAAATATATTAAGTAACACAGTGGCTGACATTGCACTTTCTCAACAACCTTGACTTCGGGCTGTACAATTTCCTCCTTAATGTTGAAGATACGTTCCTGAGTCACTAGTGTTAATCATCCTATTAACACCGGCATCTATCTTCTAATTCCTTTACCATGTTAAAAGTGTGACACAAATATTGCAGAATTCTCAACCTTTTACCAGCCACCGACTATTATTTGAGGACTTATTTACGATTCTTTACCCAGGTTTAATTCACCATAGGTTTAACCACTATGGGTGGGTGGGTGATCTTAGGTTAGTATTAGGGTTATTAATCTTTAGGTGAAATAAGCTGGGGTGGAGAATCGTCTGATGATCCCTTCCTAACATATAAAGTTTTTAAACACGTCTACACTCAGTCTGTTAATACACGAGGCAACATGTGTTATAAATCAAGGGAGATATATTTACTCTTTCTGGTGGAGGGTTGAAGTGAAAGTGTCGGATCGCGTGGCAGTCAACACTTGTGGGGTCATTACCAGCCAAAGCACTCTTGATTCTTGGGTCTGAAGTGACTAGTGGCTCATCCCCCGTGGAGGCCTGGTGGGCTGGGCATTACAGGGCGTTTGTTTTTGATTGACGAAAACTGAATTATTATCGTTTTGTTGTTTTTGGTAGAGGATGGTCTTCATATCTTTATTATGTGTTTCTAAATGACTAATATAGAGGGTGAGTGGAATTTAAAGAGCTTAACTAATAAAGTACTTCCAGAAGAACACAAAAATGTCAAAATCACACCTCGGAAACCCATAGTTGGCGAGTAATTAGCATTGAAATAAGATAATTAATATCTTGCAAGCATTATTACAGCCATTAATTACCCAGCAATCGAATCGTGGACCATAGATTTGGAGGAAGATGTGCCTATAGGTTGTTTCATTGTAGTTCCTCGTATTCCAAGATTAACATTGGCATTATTCTGGTGGGTGTGTCTCATGAGTAAGGAAAATGCTGAAGCTGCAGGAAAAATCTATGTATTCACAGACTGCTTCACTCATCTTCTGTTAAATGCCAAGAAACATTAACATATTACCTAAAATATATTATGATGGATTTGTTTCATTAATGGGAACAAGACTGATTGTAAACTGAAAATATCGTAAGGTGGACGTGACAATAAACTGCTTTACTTTTCGTACTAATACAATTTTAACATTACTTTTGGGATAGGTAGGATATAAATTTTAGTGGGTTGGCCCGCAGAAAAATATCTAAATCGTAATGCAGCCCATGACTGAGGAGAGGTTGCCCATGACTGAGGAGAGGTTGCCCATGACTGAGGAAAAGTTGCCCATGCCTGACGTAAAGGATAAAATATATTATATATTATCTTGAGAACAATGCTACTGATGGCCGCTCACACAGCCATGATCAGCGTATTTATCATCAAGTCTTAGAAGCGCATCGGTGGCTTGGTCATTGTGTGTGTAAGGAGACTGTCATTGGTAAGAGGAACTCCAGCTTTGTTGGAAACTTGAAGTTGTCTCCTCACATTGTTGTAACGTAGACAAAGAGACAGTGTGTTGAGTAGGTGTCCTGAAGTGAGAATGATTTGTTATTGTGTCTTAAATGATTTTATTACATATTAAATGGATCATACTGAGTCTATGCTTGTCACGTCATTGTCAACCCATCAGTCATCTGTCATTGTATAGTGTGAGGGTCAGAGACGAGTCATATGCCCAGACTGAGACTGGTGTTATACTTCAGCCGCTGACTGCCTGACTCACCAGTGAAGACTTACAGTAATTGAGTTATATCCCGGCAGCTGTCTGACTCGTGTTCCCAGGCTGTGCTACAGTTAAACCCGGGGCCGATTTAACACGTCAACGCCTTCACACTTATATATTATCCACAACTAACGCTATGTGTATTTGACGACAAGATATTCAATGCCTAAACCGTAATTTCAACGCAACATTATTCAACGTGTATAACAGATTTCAGATTTGCCCCCCGAGAGGGCTAGTTTATTGGGCACCCCCTAACATCCTGTGAACGTGTATAACGAAATCCTGAACAGCGTCGGTAAATTTATACTAATAGAGTTATGCACAGTGACTACAATGACTGACTAGTGTGACTACAATGACTGACTAGTGTTGTATTAGTGACGTGACAACAATAAAGTGAATACTGTAACTAAATCAGTGAATTCAAATATAGCTTGGGAATATTATAAAATGTAGAAATAGCGAGAATAAAATAAAGTTTTTTTAAAATAAAATTACCTCACGGGGCTCTGTGTAAAGGTGGGAATATTTATATATTAATTTGAGTTAAATTAGGTTAAGTGAATTAGCAGTGTGTGCGTTGCTAAGTTAACAACTATATTCCTTTATGAATACAGTGTTCTATTTAATGAGAATATATATATTTGTTAATAATTTCATTCATCAACAAATGGGAGGTATTCTACGTTCATTTCTTTATTTTCTCTTCTTGTTTGAAACTTGAGTAATTACTTAAACAATAACATATTTATTAACGACATTTGCGGGAAATAATTTAATTACTTTGTGGACCACTTACTGAGAAGTTGTTAGGCAGGCAGCTGTCCGCCCTTCACCCAACATGCATCAGCCTTGTGAAATTTGGGGGTTTGATACCAGTGGTCGCCCCCGCCTCCTCGTTGCATCTCTTTTTCTGTTTCTTTGCTATGTATTACTACGGTTTTCAAGAGATTTTAAATTTAACATAGTTCAAATTTACTGAACCTTTTACACAATGATCCTGGATATGTCATGACTGAGGTCTTCTGAACCATATAAGAATAACCTCGTCTCTCTTGTTCTTATATACAGTGGGTCAGGCTCCTCTGTTGGCTCACTCGTCCTGGCTCTCCTGTGTACCATTTCATTTTTAACTACAAACTTACTTAAAGGTGGACACTCAAGAAGCTTCAATGGACGCGTTCTGTTCCCTCGAGTTGTGCCGCAGATTAAGTTAACTGATCTACACTTTCACTGGCACTAACTTTTCACTGCCCAGACATCTAGACCGAGGCTGTCATTAGTAGATGTGCGGCTTCATTTGATTGCTTGGGGAGGCGCCATTGAATCAGAATATATACCGCAAGTGGAATTCTTTGCATAATAAATGGCCCCATCAGGTGTAAACAATACAGTTGTTTACGCTATTAAGTAGTCCAGCAAACGTTATCGTAATTGATTTTGTTAACGATGTCCTCACCGACGCGTGTGTAGGTCATCTGTGTGTAATTGTTTGCCGTCTCTAAATAGAAAGGGGTCTGCCTTTTTTCCTCGGGGGACAGTCTTTCCAGACAAATTGTCTCGGCGCTTCCAGCTGAGTGAGGAAGGTGGACACTCGGTGGCCAGTGTCCAGAGCAGGACCCCATTCTCCTCACTAAGACCGGAGGAGAGGCAGCAGCAAGGGAGTTGATCCCCGCCACACACACACACACACACACACACACAGACACTCGAGTTAGCATGTGATGAGAAATGTCCCTTTTTGTTGCTGCTCTACATCCACGAAGACTGAATATTAGCCTCTACTCCCCAGCGTTAGATATT